ATTCTTTTGTTTGTTGTTTGTTCAAAAAGCGGCACGCGGCGTAGTACAAGGCTTGATCATTTTTTAAGAAATTTTTGATTGTTAATTTTATTTTTGTGCAAACTAAACAGTTGTTTTTTATTAAAAAATAGCAGACAAAGGTAAGAAAGGTAATGTCCATGCAGAAGTTTTTATTTCACAGACTATTCTTTCTAGAAATTATACCATCCAGCCCTCCTATTTAATTATTAAATGAAAGTGTGAAAGAGATATCAAGGTCTATTCTGTTAAAATATCATCCGACCAGTCTAGGCCCTGTTGTGAACCAGAAGGTGTGCTAAGTTGGATGTTGGATATAGAATGGAAGGAATATCATGGCCGAGAACAAGGCATAATTGTATGCCCCTTGATGTAGGGGGGTAGGTTTGTTTCTAATAGGCAGTAAAACCAAAAATTCTACTGTGAATCTTCATATTCTAGGCCTGTAAAGATAAATAATTCCTGGAGCCATCTCGAGGTATAGTACTCAAGTCGGATCGAATCAATAGATAGCACAATGAAAAGAAATAATAGCCATCATAAAACTGTAAATATGTATATAACTAGTACAATGTAGCTATTTAACTGTAAGTACAATGTAGCTAGATATTTAGTAGAATAGGGGTATTATAAATTAATACAAAATACAATAATTGGTCACTCTTTCCATTCCCATTCAATTCTTCCCATTTAATCATTTTCCCATAAAAAAAGGAAAATTAAAATTAAGAGTGCCGTTAACCAAAAATAGTGAAATAAATGGAGATAGTCAAATTTTATATTAGCGTGTAAGACTTTGAATAAAAAGGTGTAAAAGGATTATAAATGCTGTATTTATATCCTTTAGTATCATGATAATATAAAATTTGAGTAGGTATCTCCATTTATATCACTGTTTTTGGTTAAGGGCACTCTTAGTTTTAATTGCCTTAAAAATAATAAGTATAATAATAATTTAAATATAATAAAGACAGGTTTGAATTCTAAGAACCTCTTCAAAGCAATAAACACTTATGCCCTACCGGTTCTTACATATTCTTTTGGAATAGTCAACCATGGACCCATACAGACTTGGAATCCCTAAATCGCCTGGTACGAACAACCTTAACCAAATTTAGAAATCACCACCCAAGAAGCGCTACGGAACGGGTAACCCTCCCTCGAAATCTTGGAGGTAGAGGTTTACTGGATGTTGTTAATGTCTGTCGGGAGCAAATAAAGAGCCTCAGAGAATACTTTTATACCAAGAACAGCAACCTTTACGTCACGGTGTCTTCAGCTGATGTCAAATACACCCCCTTGAACCTCAGTAGAAACAATATGGTGCTTTTCCAACTCCTACATCAATCACTAATAAAATAGCTACTTGGGGAGCCAAGGAGTTACACGGACGGTACCTAAATGAGCTAGATCAACATCACATTGAAAAGGTGGAATCATTGCACTGGTTAACATCGGGTTATCTCTACCCAGAAACCGAGGGATTCATAGTGGCTATGCAAGACCAAGTTATTCCAACACGCAACTACCGGAAACTCATCCTAAAGGAGAATATATCAGACAAGTGCCGTAGATGTGATTCTGGAAGTGTAAACATAGAACACATTTTATCAGGGTGCAATAATCTTGCGAGTACAAAGTATCTGGAAAAACACAACAGAGTCGCATCAATCATCTACTTGGAGATCCTCAAACAATTCAACATTGACCGAGAAATCCAAGAGCCCTACTACAAATATCATCCACCACCAGTAGTCGAAAATAATAGTTTCAAAATATACCGGGATAAAACAATCTTAACAAATAAAACCGTTAGAAGTAACAGACCGGACATCACGCTTATAAATAAAATTAAAAAACCAGTTTTACTAATTGATATTTCTATTCCTAACAACAACAATATACAAAGCAAGTTTACAGAAAAAATAACAAAGTATCAAGATTTGAGAATAGAAATAAAAAATATATGGCAAATGGAATCGGTCCAGGTAGTCCCGTTGATTGTCTCGACCATTGGAATTATCCCGGTCAACCTGAAAGAACAATTAAAAGTAATTGGAATACCTGAAAATACTTACCGCCTAATGCAGAAATCTGTGCTGCTTGATGCTGCTAACATTGTTCGTTCCTTTCTAGGTGATTAACAATAGCACCTTATCTTGTCCCCATGGACCGATAAGGCAGCTTTAAACCTGTTCTGAGCAGTGAAAAAAAAAAAAAAATTTAAATCTCCCGCTCTTATAGTTCGTACCTGTAGCCAAGTAGAGGGCGCTAAAAGCGCAATCTCCCAACATTTTACCACGCGATTCACCACTCTCTAAACTATTAACTTTCTCTATGCTATAACCTCAAATCAAATGACAATGACAATTACTAAAAGGAATATGCAGTAACTGAATTCGTAGTGACTTCACCAATTTCTTTCATCTTGTTGTCAAGTGAAAGAGAGAGTTCGATATATGACGTGACGGTGAACGATGGCTGAACAATCTATAGATTTATTGACGTATTTTTTCTGCGTAGTGTGTAACTAGCTTAACACTCCGACAGCGATCGAGGTCAAACGAAAGGATCGCATGCCGTCTCCCCATCCTGCGGAGTTGACCATGCGACTCACTGTCTGACCGGTGCTAATTCACGGGTTTTTATCATTCTCAGATCGAACGTTAGATAGCGTTGCGAGCGCCGGTCGTGATTCAGATTTTCTATTAAAAATCGGAATCGTTCCCATGTGCGAAGTAATACGGAGGGTCGCGATTGGGGGGAGAAATAGAAATTATGTGTAAACACTCGAAAGTGAGGAAACCGTGAAAAAATATTGCGGTTCTATTTGATACGATATTTCTGTTTAAGGTTAAAGAAGGTGAAGCATATTTTTTTGATAATATTGAAATAGAATATTATGAAAGATAGAGAAAATTAATTTTACTAATCAAGAAAAAATATATATGTATCATCATTCACTTAATTATGATGAATAAATATTATTGATAAATAAATATTATTTCGATAAATAAATATTATTTCGAAAAGACTTACTTATTCTGAGTATGTAGACTATAACCATTTTGGAACGTATGGGGTATAAATACCAATAAACACATTGAAAGTGTGCAAACAAACTATTGTTGCTAGTGCCGGACTTTATAAGGAGTGTTACAAAATAAAGAGATCCTCTGTTAGAGCATAAGAACGGAGAGAATGCATTAAGTTCACTAATATCCTGATATTAGTGATGAAATATGAACAATTACCGTGTAAAAATATAACTGAACAGCAATTTATAAATTACTTTACTTAAATCCCTTCAATTAAAAACCATTACTTATTTAATATAGCTCTAAAGTAGGTAAAAAATAAATAAAACTTTTTAAATCAAACTAGGTATTTATTTCATTTTTAATTCGCATATAATTCACTAATATTATAACAGAAACCTTAGAAAATCTGTTATTCAATTCACATTTGCTTTTATTTCTTTTGTGTTACCATTTTTTTAACACCTATGTAGGTACCTTACACATCTCTTCTTCATGCTGTTTTTTAAGTAACTCTCTAGCTGAACCTTTTTAAGACACCTCCTTTGAATTCCAGTTAGTTCAACTTTTTCACGGTTAAAAGGTTTATTAATATCAACTTTGTTTATACAAGATTTTTCCTTTATTTTTCCTGGTTTTTTTGAAGTTCCATCACTTTGAGTTCTTAAAAATAAAAGTAATATGACGAAATTGTGTTATATTTAATTTTTTTATTAAATAATTTGTACATGTAATGTGTAAATGTAACAATTATTATATAGGTGCTCTTAATTTATTATTATTAATTAAGATAAAAGTATCTAAAATCATATAACAATAAATGAGGAGATAAACCGCAGTACTGGTCTTTGGGGTTATAATATACTTATTCTCAATCGTGCTTTTCTAAGAAAAATAATATAAGTACATTTACCTATTTTATAGAATAAACATTCACCTTAATTACTATCATCGATGCTATCCTACCTATTTCTTTATTATGAGAAGCCCTACAATACATATTTATTATTACTAACAGCCTTATGCTATTTTTTTACCAAATGGTGGTTTTAGTATTTGTCTATAAATCTCTGCTTGCACTTCACCAGTTTCTTCCATATTTTCTATTATCAATTGTACTAAAATGTTAATATAATAAATATAACAGTAATATCATATAATTAAATTATAAATTACTTACGCATACTTTTTTTCTTGTTTTAATTTCTTATAAATTGCATTCCATCAATAGATCTATTTCACAACTGTTGAAACTTATTCCCTTTTTCCATAAAGGTAAAATTAATTAGCCTATACCATAATAGAACTGGTCAGAGTTGAACACAAAATATATTTTAGTTGAAATTTATTGTTTTTATTTTCATTTTCACGATCTTTTGACAACTGAATAATATAATAACCTCAATTTTTAATCTAACGATTTGAAATTCCGAGTTTTTATCTCTGTCTGTGGCATAGACTTTTCATATAATATAACCATCTGAATTTCAGATATCTTATATTGGCAACACTTTCTCTACGGAGTGTCACGTATGCGGTCTGTCCTTCAGATAGTTATCTTTTGGATTATTTTATATGAAAATACCCAAATGTTATATCCTATGGATAGCAGGCTCTAGATTGTTTATCTTTTAGATGGTTATTTGTTAGATAAAAGCTATTTATTTATAACTGAAAACACCGCGCCTTAAAGAGATAGTTAAAAAAGGTATAATAGACTTTAATACCATTTATTTGTATTGTATCTGCTCGCAAAATATTCTGGGTGTTCCTTTATATTAAACGGTTATTGCCGTTTGATGCAAGAAAGTATTTAGAATAAATTTTGGGATAACATTTTGTATAAACTAGTATGCCTGAAATTCACCAGTAAGTAGCTATTTCCACCAGTTACAGTACGATTTATAAATTATGCATATTGTTACATATTAAATCTTTGCTTACCAGGTTGTCTAAGGTGGCCATGAGGATCCAGTGAAGCTTTCGTCATACTTGAAAGTGTGTTGGTTCCATAACCTGTAAAATATATAGAAAACTATGTAGAACTTAATAAAAAAATCAATATTCTACAGGATGAGTTTTCTACGATATTCTCTATACGGATCTTGAAAACTAGTGAAGCTAGAGAGCTTAGGTATTTTTGAAAAATGTAATATGTGAACTTTCACTTCACAACAGCTAATAGATATTTGAATTTCTTAAATTTATTATCATCCAATCGAGCAAAATCAGAATAGCCACCCACCAAGCGAGAAACCTCACATTACATTTGCAACATTGCAGACAATCCCCAAACAGCTTGCTTTGTAATGTTGATTTGTAAACGTTTTGTCGTGATTGATGAAACTTTGCTATAGAAATATTGTTTTTGAAAGGCGATAAAAACGTTTTTTCTGCAACATTGCAACAAAGATTCAAATGAAAGATCCGCGCAAGTTCATGTTCATACCGTATGATCGAAAAAATATGGCGTCCAGCTGTAATTACCAATTATACCATTCAATTCGTAGCTATCGCTGACGCCGTTTTTTTTTATCATAAAGTCATAAATAAAGTTAGGTTAGGTTAACGTTAAACTTGTTTTTGACGTGTTTTGTATCACGTTCTATGCTTTTTGAATGAGATTTTGATGAATATAAATGTAAGTAAACAAACCAAGAGTAATGATATATAAAACAACCCCATAGTTAGTAAGTAAACAAAGCAAAACCAAAGGAAGAGAAATAAAACAATCCCAGAGTTTCCAACTGGCACAGGAGTACGATAAGGAGACGCGATATCCCCAATCCCCAAAGCTATTTTCAGCAACACTAGAAGAAATCTTCTGTCAACTAGACTAAAACAACAAAAGATTAAAAATAGATGGAGAATATCTTAATCTTCAATGGAACAAAATATGCTGGGAATAACCTTGGAATAACCAAGAAAGACCATAAAAGAAAAGAGTGAATACGACAAAAGATCCAGGTAATAGATGTCATCCACAGAATCAAATCCCTCAAATGGCAATGAGCAGGATACCTGGCAATAAGGATGAACAACATATTATGGATCACAAAAATTAATTATAAAGGAATTAAGAGACCTAGAAGTAGAGTGACCCTGAGATGGGACCATAATATTAGGAAATTAGCAAGGATAAATTGGGTCTACATAGCCAACAATAGACAAAGAATGATGATGAAACGATAAGTGTAAGTATAATTTTATTATTATGTGTGTATTAATAACTCTTAGCTATGAATAAGTATAACAAATTGTGTTGTTTGTTTTGAAAGGAAATTTTATATTTTAGTTTAGCTTTTAACCAACTGAAAACTGAAGTAGATAAAACATGGATAAAACCAGGGTAAACCCAAGAAACCTATATATTCTTAATCTAATGATAAAATCACGAACAATATTCAGTATTCATTATTGTCAATGTTGGATTGGTTAATCATTTGAGATTTTTAAAATAAGGACTTAAAATAAGGAACATCACAAGAGGTAAGTTTCTCATGCTATATTTATTACAACTGATGGTTTTTTATTTTTACTACTTTAGAAACGATTGGATATAGATTGGAAAACATTACCAAAGAGGAATTTGAAACCATGAATAAGACAATTCAACATGCAAAAACAAAATATGAAAGATCCAAAAAATCAATTAAAATAAACGTTTGCTTTTTCTTGTATAATATATTTAATATTATACTTTCTTTTTATATTTTTGAATAAGAATTTAGAAATATATAACAATGTTTATACCATATCTATATATTTTATCTTATTTCAGACAATAAAACTTTAAGATTTTCTTAGAAATTATATCAAACACAAAAGTCAGAGTTGAGTAATTCCTTATTTAATGAGCAGTCGAAAAATTTTCAGTTCTTCACAGTATTTTTGATATTTCTGAAACAAGTAAGTGATAAATTTCTATTTTTTCTTAGTAGGTATATTTACCGAGCATTTTTTATTTTTAATAAAGTCAATAGATATGGAGATATGCATATTTTTATCAATATTGTTTATGTTTTTCTTCAATACAAATATTAGTAAAATGATATCATACCTATCTAAAAGTCTACAATTTAATATCCATTAATGTTTCTGTTGATTATAACCCATTGCTAATGTATTATTGTTAAGATAACATTGCTAATGTTTTGCAAGAAAAAACTGTTACATTAAATTGATAAGTAAATATTAAAAAATAATTTTTATATCCCATGAATGAAATGTTTTTTTATTGCGAACATTATCGATTTTTTGCTATAATATTTTAGCAATAAGTCTAGAAAGTTTAATGGATAATAAGTTTTGAAATATAGATGCAATATAATTTTACCAATATGGTATTGACGTAAAATTAATAATATTGCTAATACATCCCAAATTAGTACTTTCTTGAACGCTACATTAGCAAAGTTTCAGAAATATTGTGAAATGTTCTCATGAGGTTGTGACAAAGTTTCAATAAACTCGCATCAACATTTTTTTCAACCTTGCACTGCAATGTTATTTGGCGGAAGATTAAGCTATCCTGCAACCTTGCATATACCTCCCTACAATGAAAAAAGCAATGTTACACCTTGCTTTGCGAAGTTTTGGCAATGTTGTAGCAATAAATTTAGCTTGTTGGGCAACTATTTCAGTCATTGTCGATCGCTCCTTATAAATAGAATAACCGACACGGTATTCATACTTCTTTCTATTCCAAGAAAAAAAATCAATTTTACATTTTTCGAACGTTCGTCTAGAGTAAAATAAAGCCATCCGTGCGGAAAGGGTGGGCCTTCCCCGGCGATAGAGAGAGAAGGAAGCGGAGGAATTTTCTCCTCGTTCTTCCTGTTCCGTGCTGGAAATGGCTTTTGTTTCCATCACGGCTCACTTGAACCGTGTTTGGCGGCAACTGGCGTGGAAACCAACAAGAGAATCCTTTCCGCAGCCCGCCTCGATCCAGCCTCTCAACCCCGGCTTATTTTAACAATCTCGACACTGAACACAAATACCCGACCACTTGATTTTTTCTTCTTTTTTTGATTTCGACGCGCCTCTTAAACGCTTTGCTAGAGAATATACGTGCATTTTTATTTCTTTGAGTTTGGAGGACTGTTTTACATACATGCTTATATATTTTCTTTTATGTTTCGTTGTTGTTTCTCTATGTAATTTAAATATACCTATACCTCAATTTGGAAAGTAAAAATATATTTTATGCAGGTGGTTTGGGAGGAGTGGAAAAAATCTGTGAACGATCGCACGCGTCACAAGTATTTTTGAATCACATTCCTTCAGATTTACAATAACCTAGTAATGGGTTGTTTTTTAACTATCTGTTATTTTATAACAATTATTTATAAATAACATCAACGCAACCGTTACTACTTCTAAAAAATAACAGATATAAAATAACTATGGATCGGCCGCTCGTGAAATGAAAAACGATGTCGGCGCTCTGCATCGCCACGAAATTCTATGCTGCTCGAAGCAATTCCAAAAAACAACTAGTATGGATGGAAAACTTGTTATTTCGTCAACCATCGATACAGGCGGCGAGACAACGGACAACGGAGTGGGGAATGCGCCACGGCGGATGTAGCTGCTTCGGTCGATGCCGTCGATGGTGGTATTGGGCTTGCAACAGCTTAAAAATAATAGGATATAAAAGAAGCAGGTTTTTTGAAACAGTTGCGGGCATAACGCCTGGCGGTCGAGATAACAGGAGTGGGAAAGGAACGCTGCTGCATCGGTCGATTGTCGATGGAGGCTCGCAACGGGTTGGAGAAGCAGTCATTTTAGATACGTTGTTTTTCAACCTGTTACGAGTATAACAGGGCGGCGGTCGAGATAATCGGAGTGGGAAAGGAACGCTGCTGCATCGGTCGATTGTCGATGGAGGTTCGAAACAGGTTGGAGAATAACGGCATCAGTTGTTTTAGATACATTGTTTTTCAACCTGTTACGAGCATAACGGGCGGAGGTCGAGATATTATGGCGCTGTATGTCTCAGTACTTACTTATTAAGTTTCAATATTTAGGTATTTATTAATATTTTAAGATTTTTTAAAAATGTATAAGGGTACCTATTTTGAAAAATCTGGTCATTGATTAATCACGATCCTGCTTAAAGCACTTGACGTAAAAAGCTGATTTTTGGCAAACGGATTGCCTGTGGGGTTGAGGTTCGATAAGGAGGGGTTTCTCGAATCTCAAATTCCAACAGGGTGAAACGCCCCTCAAATATTACAATATTTGTTATTTAAAAAACGGTTAGTCTTTCGGGAAAACGCCTGGATACGCATAATTTATTGTTTTTTTACATATTTTGAAATTTTTTAAAAAATCATACAGGGTGTTCCAAAAAGTTGAGTAATTGATTAACCACGATTCTGCTTAAACTGCTCGACGTTTAAAGCTTATTTTTGGCAAATGTGAGAAAATTTTATCCGGTTTGTATGTTAATGGAAATTCTTGTTTTGCTTTATCATCACCATTAGAAATTATTAATTCGTCGCGAATGAAGTCGCGGGTACACGCTAATTTAGGTGTAAAATTAATTCGAACTCTAGTGTGTAGTTGGTTTACTTATGAAGAATATACTACACATTTTCTTATATCGCTATTTGTTGACCGCAAATGGTAAAATCATAACTAAGAGCTTCTCGCCCGTCGAGTGAGATGCACCCTGTACACTGCTACGCAATTCAGGATCTACGCGGATCGAGGGGCAGGGCGTAGGTAGATCGGCATGTATAGGTATAGACGAGTGGCGGAATTTTGGCTTTTTTTATATCGTAATTTGTAAACAGCGCTTATTTGTAAACAACCGCCCTTTTTAGAGAGGTATTTTAGATAACAATCGATATTTAGAAATGTTTTGACACCCTGGAAATACTACCACCGAGCACGTCATTGTTGCAACTTGCAACTGCGTTAATACGCCTGCCGGTGACCGCCTCATACTCTTTCAGATATTTAGCAGTAAAATAAAGAAACCTGTTATTTTTAAGCTGTTATTTTAAGCT